AATTTGAAAGTACCCCATTAGAAATTTTGTATTAGAATTTCTTTTGTAAGTTTTAGCTTAGCCTGTCTGCCAGAGAAGCGCTTTGCTTCTACCAGAGTTGCTCACCAGAGAAGCCATCAGAAACTGGTCATCAGAAAGATACCAGAGTTGGCAACAGAGACGGACTTCAGAGATTGGACCAGAGAGCCTCTTAAGACTCTGCTAAACCCACCAGATTCCGGAAGCCTTTCCAACGGTCGTTAAACTAACGGGAAATCCCCTAACAGTTACGAACCTTTCAACGGAAACATGGTACTGTACACGCATTAAATGCACATTTAATGCTGTACGTACGAAGAGATATTTAAAGCTGATGATCGACCATGCGAGTATCTTTACGCCCCCAAAATAACAAGTCGAAGGTCCAACCGGTCAAGTCAACAGTACATGCAATTAATGAAGCTGTCTTCTACACTCCAACGGGAAGACTGCTCCCAGTATATAAGATACACTCTGAAGAACTAAGAGGATAACTTTGCGTAAAAACAACCTTCTTGAGATTCAAACTTCATCCTTAAACAAGAAAAGGCTCCAGTTGGAAGATATACTTTTCTATCCTTCATCCAACTAGCAAACTGCAAAGTTACTCAGCTCTTCAACACTTCGAAAGCTTCATATACTCATCCTTTGTGAAGAAGCAACGTTGGAGAAAACTGATTTTATATCAAACACTTCTTGAAAAAGAAGGGACGTCTCAAACTAGCTGGAGTAAGTGAAGTGGGGATACTTCAAGAGACTCAGTGAAACGAGACCAGCCATCAGGAAGCAGGACTGCATCCCGGGTGGCAACTAGACTTGAAGAAGACGAGGAGTGCTTCTTAAGTTCTAGGGACTAAGGCGTTGTAAACAGTTGTTTTTGCAAGCTTAGTGGAACAGTGGACTAGAGGAACAAGTTGTTCCTTGAACCACTATAAAAACCCCGGTGTCATTTACTTTAAGCTTTTAATTCCTGCACTTAAGATTCTACTGACTAACTCTTCAGGTTGGAATCTGTGTCCAGCAGATCTTCCTTCAGAGTTATCAGAAAGGCATTTTGCCTTAGCTTTCTTCTAGAGGCTACCCGGACAGAAACTTATCCGCTGCCTGGTCCAGTTCTGCCATCAGAACTTGACCATCTCTGTCACCAGATTTCGACCATCTCTGATAAGTCAGACTTGACTTAGAGAAAAGTTTAAATTCTTGAACAGTCTATTCACCCCCCCTCTAGACTGTTCCCATTACAAACGGGACCAACAGGCTGTTTACTTTTTTTCTCATTAAGTCCTGAATGGATTAAGACATCTGTCTGCATTAAGCTGTCTGTCTGGATTAAGTTACACTGAGATAACAAGCTGTTTACTAAGTGTGCTGAATGAGAAGTCCGAATCAGACCGAATAGCCCTCCTGTTTGTAACAAGTGTTGAATTCATATTGTTTATTCTTCTTTCTTTGTTCTGAAAGAGAAAATTTATATACCAGAAAATAATAATACTATGAATTACTTAAATAAAAGAGTCATATTCCATGTTAAAACAAAGTCAAGAGTTTTACGAGAACGACTTTTAAATTTAAACATTTTATACTAGTCTATTAGCAATTTCATCCCGCAAATTCGCCATATATTGTAGACTTTGTGTACCCCATTGTGCTCCATGTACTTCCTCTCCAATGTTTTCAACTTCCTCTTGTGCTTGATTGTTGATTATATTGTCATTATCCTATTCATCGAAGAATTCATCATCGAAGATTTTTCATAATAGAGTAGAGAACAACTAAACACTATCATGGTCAATGATATGAAATACATACTCACCTAAATAGTATATCAAGTATATATGTTTTATTACTTGTATATAACTACAAATTACTTCGTATGAGTTGACAGAGTATGAAGTACACTAAACTACCGCAAAATAAAGAAAATGCACAAATATGTTGGAAAGGAAAAACATGGAGGAACTAAACTACCAAGAAAACAGAAAAACTGATACATGTATGCAGCAAAATGAAGCAAAAAAGAGCAACAAAACCTACCATTTTTTGCAGAAAGATCATGGAACAAACTATCAAGATAAGAGACAAATGTGTACACTTTTGTTGAAGAATCAGGCCAAAAAATGCAGAAAAACTGCCCCAAGTTAACACAAATATGCTGGAAAAACATGCAGGAACATAACTTTCTAAAAAACAGAAAAATTATACAAGTTATATGTACGGAAATAATGCCAAAAAGTGCAGAAAAACCTACTCAAGATTGTCTAGATATATGCAGGGATAAAAGTAGCAAGAAAATAGGGACTTGTGTACAATTATGCTGAAAACTCCTTGCAAATTCCTGTACAAAAACCTGCACAAAGTTAGCTGAAATATGCAAAAAAAACTTCTTACAAAGTTAACCTGCTTAGTGCTAAAAAATCAGTGGAAAACTGTTAATAAAATGACAAAAAGATTAAGATAAACAAGTGAACACAACCAATCCAAT